GAGATCCCACAGAAAGTCATAGATAATAAGAAAGCTAAGATCCTGTGGGACTTCCAGATACAGACAGATAGGCAGGTGCTAGCCAATTAACCGAAAAGTTATAAATGAAATATGGGGCTGGATGGATTTGAAATAAGATTCTAAAATTAATCAGAAAAATATTTCCTGTGAGTTGTTTAAAATTTTACAAAATACACACACACATATAACTGTAAGAAATCTTCCCATGTAAAAGTGTTGTTTATTAGGAAGAAAATATGATAGGAAGGGACTTAGAAAGTTGATCAGAGGGAGACAGAAAACTAAAAGGAGAAGAGATCCCTTGAAACAGAATGAAGCAACTTTATTTGACTTCAGAAGAATGCAAGTTTAATATTTCAGAACAATGCACTAGGAAATTACTGTTAAGAATGTCTCCTATTAAAAAAAGGATTCAGAGGAAGTTATGGAAGACAAAGATTTTACTGGATAAAATACATTGATGCTGATTTGAATGTGGATCTGAAAATGGATTTTAGAATGTCAGGCTACAAGAATGAAATGGAAAAACAATATTACACTAAATTTACAAATGAAACCTGCTGATCTTTTAATAGTTAAAGGGGACCTACACATAATATATCAGAAGAATGACTTGGATAGCTTTCTTATTTTACGTATATAAAAGAGAGGTGTTAAACTTGTAAAGGAGTTTCTGAGAGGAGACATAGAAAATGATGCTTTCAGGGCTTCTAATGTACTGCTTTCACTGGACAAGGTCTTAAAAATTCAGGGAAATATTTAGAGATGTATGTGCCTTGAAAGTAGCTCATGTTGAACTGTATAATACAGTCAATCTCAGGAGTTGACCACAGGAAATGTTTTATGGAATTTTGTATGATATCATTAAATGCTTTCCAATAATTTTTATGTTTTACTTTATGGAATTTGCCAAATTTCAATTCCACAGGAGTCATAGCTCCCAGATTTTGGATGCATTTTGTAAGAGGCCATTTGAAACACCTTGGTTGAAAATGTTTTGCCTTATGATGCCCCATTTCACCCAGTTAAAGGTTACCGACATAAGAGTTTTAGTAGTATATATATATATTATTTCTAAAATATATATGTGTTTCCTCTTTCTGAATTCAGACAAAACCCTGCATATTCATTACTGACCTCAAAGAAGCTAATCTTGAGGAAAATAATAAGACCAGTGTCACCACTAAAGAGACATTGGAAGATTTAACACCTCTTGATTGAACAAAGATAAATGCTTCTTTTTTACACTTAACCATCTCATTAATGCAGGAATTTCTGCTCAACACAAGAATAAACAATGCAAGAACACTCTTCCCCTCATCTCCAACAGAATTTAATATAAATTGCATATATAACATATAATTTCATTCCCTGGATTACATACACCTGCTTAAAATGACCAGGATTCGTGGATATTTAAGCAACATTAAATAGGTTTATCTTTAAAGTGCCACAGCAGAAGTCATTCCTTTATTATTGAGTGCAAGTAATATGTTTGAAATAGAATGAAGGTTTTCATTCTAATTATAAGTCACTTGGAACCATCCAAGTTAGTGGCATACAAATAATCCTCACAAATTATAAATAAATTGTGGGAAAGGGCAAGTCAAACAGAATGTTCAGACAAATATCACATGTGGGTTGGTTGATAAGAAATCTTTCACATTTAAGAAATTTAAGCAGACAGGCAGGGCGTCCATGAAGGAGGTCAAACCACCCAGTTGAAGTCCTGCCTCTTTTGTATATGCATATAAAAAGGGGTGATGCTTCATTTGTGTAGCAGTGGCCACCCATTTGACTTTTCAGGCATCTTCCCCACCCACCCCCAGCTCTTGTGGGTGCAGGGTAAGAAAAGTGCACCTTCTGGCATCCTAGCAGCCCTTGGGAGCTGAATTTCTAAACACTCTGCCCAGGAGAGAAGTGTCTCGAGATTACATAGAAATTGCTCAGTGCCGCTGAAAAAGAACTAAAACTCCTCTCGGATAAGGCGAAGTATTGACTAAATACTTCAAGAGAAAACTGTTCTAGACCTCTTCTTTTTTCTCCGAAACATCACGTCCAAGGAAGGCAGCCGCGGGCCAGAGACAGCCACGGATGACGAAATAATCCTCACCTGTCACGTCAGAACGCCCGCTGAAGATGTTGCAGCCTGTGTGTGTGTGTGTGTGTGTGTGTGTGAGAGAGAGAGAGAGAGAGAGATGGGGGGGGGCACGGTCTGTTCAGGCAGCCCGCGCTGGGCTCGAGAGTGCCTCAGGAGGGAAGAAGAGGCTCCGAGAACGGCTGCCCTGGAGACCGGCGGCGACCCCCGCCTTCGGGGAAGCGGAAGGGCTCCTGAAGGCCGCAGACAAAGCGGGGAGGGAGGGCAGGAGCTGTTGTGTCGGGGAGGGGAGAGTTGTATTTCTTAGATGGGAGCCAAGCCCTGCCGTTTTTGCTGTTGCGCCTCCAGCTTCCCCTGCCTCTGAAATATCTGGGAGGAATTACTAAGAGTCCCCCGCCCCTCGCGCGTGGCCTTCCCTCTGAAGTGCGCCTTGCACGACGCGCCTCTTCGGCTGCGGAGCTGCAGCTACCTTTAGCGAAGGGAGCGGTGGCCAGGCCGGAAATGGGCGACCCTGTATGAAAACCCAGAGCGTGGTCCTCAGAATCACCTGGCCTGGCCCGACCTGCGCGGCTCCCCTTCTGCGCAGTTCCCGCCTCGGTCTCTGGAGGGCAGCCGTAGCCCCCTGGCCGATGTGTGTGCAGGCAGGGCCTCCTTGGCCACTAGAGTCCTTGCCTTTGGAAGGGGCACCAGGCAAGAGATAGTGGCTTTCTGCAGGCCTCCATGGAAGGGAGACTAGTCTGCAAGAGGGGGAAAATCAGATTGTTTTGGGAATGAATGAGAGTTCAAGCCAAAAGGAGTTTTCCCCTTGTTTTGGATTTCTCTGACCTATCACCTCACATCCAGCCAGGAAACTCCATCAAAATGAATGAGACTGACCTGGAACAAACCCAAAAAGAACTGGGCTGTAGTTCTGTATTCACCATTGAATTCTATGGAGCCTGGTAGCATTTCCTTTCCCTGGAACTGGTGGATTCCTGCAAGTTTGTTCTGCCCAACAACTTGTGCTGGAAGACATTTCCTCTCCCTCCATGCTCCACAGCATCCAGAAGAAACCCCCCCCCCCCGTTTTCCGGCAAAGAACTTCCAAACTATTTGGAAAATCTGCCCCAAAATAAGTTTATTCATTTTCCTGCATTAAAATACTGATAAATTCAGGACTTTGGAGTGGTTTCTTGCATTCAGTACAATAAAGCAATAAGAGGAAAATGAAATCTAGGTGCGGGTGGAAAATAGGTCTCTGAAAGGTGAGCTGCAGCAGGACAGAGTGCTTGAAGGTTCTCTAGAGAGCAGGGCTTTTCTAGTGTTTAACTGTGTTTATGCTCCCTTAGTCTAACTCAAAGGGTGGCCACCAGGCTGTCAGTAGGGTCGCTCTGCATTTTTTTTTCCAAAGGACGTTTAATTCCTCTTTCTGTTTCTGGGGCAGAGCTCAGGCAATGAAATGAGAAATCTGGAAATGAATGTGGTGAGGTCTGATACTTATTAGGTATTTGCACCTAGGTTGAAGAAAGAGATGCTCCCCCCCCCCAAATCACAGATAACTCACGATTGCCAGCTTGCAACTTATTTAACTACTAAAAAGTACAAAACTTTTATTTTTCAACTGCAGCCTCAGCAATCCCAATGGAGTAAACTTGGCCAACCAGAATGGTTAAAGGCCATTCTGTAGGAATGGATAAAGCATAGAAACATGAAAAAAAAACCCCTCCAATGTACACTTGAATTTGAAAATATTTTATTTGAATAATAAATAATTATACAGTTAAAACAGTTCTATTGAAGCATTCTATAAATAGCTAACAGTTAAGAAAATAATGTGTGTAGAAAAGAGATTGCATCTAAAAGTAAGCTGAGCTGTTTGAGAGCCCTCCAAGCAAGAATAAGAGTTGCAGTTGTGTAGTTTATTCTAGATATAAAAGTTAAATCCCTTTCGGCAGATTTTTTTTTTTATTAAAAAAAGAAGGTAATCATGCAATCCCCCTGTATGTTTACCTAGAAATGAGCCCCACACATTTCAGAAGGACTTATTTCCAGGGAAGTGAGTTTGGGACTGCAGCACTTAAGAGCACAGTGAAATGGTAAGAGAAAGGCAAAGCACATCAAAAATGATATAAACACCATGATTAATAAATAACCAATAAATAACAATTGCGCATAAATCAACATATACACAGTGTCAACAAATATCTCTAGTTCAAAAAAGAAAGAAACCGGAACGGTTGGCATTTTATAATATTAAGGCAGCGTCTACAACATTATTCAACAACAATAAAGTCAAGGCAATTGTGGCTATACTAACCAAAGTTATATTTTTAAGCGGTTTGATTTTGTTCACATACAAAATAAAATTTAAGGAAACGAACCAACCAACGACAACAAAAAGGTAAAGCCAGATCCCAGCAGTTCACAAGCCATAATAAAGCTAATCAAGTAGGTAAATGTTCAGTTCATAGCCTGTGAAATGTAAAGGCATCCATCATCATTCCTTAAGATTCACTAGGGGCAGCAGGAGACAGAACGGGAATTTTTTTCTTTAAAATAGCTCGGACACTTTGGAGCAGCTCCGGGTGCAGGGAAAAGAGGGGTGGGCTGCTCCAGAGTGCGCCCTCCGAGCGGCACAGATAAGACGCCTTAAACCCCAGCATCACACAGAGGCTCAGCGCCTGGCAGTGGGTCGGTGGGGGGGGGGGAGAGCCCTACGAAACAGCAGCAGCAGCAGCAGCAGCTGAAGGATTATCGCCGGTTGGCAAACTGACCCGGCCGGACTCCTGCAGGAAAGGCGCGAAGGGCCAGCGAAGACCTTGCCATTGCGCAGGTCGGGCTAGCTGGTTGGCGGCGGGCGGGGCGGCGCTGGTGCTGGAGGCAAGGCACTGCGGGACTCCCTCTAGCAGGCTGGGCGCACGGGGACCTGGAGCAAGATGACCTGCCGGTTCTCCGAGGGGTGGCATTTGTTGATGTGGCGGGTGAGGCCTGGCGAGCTGTAAAATGTCGCCGGGCAGTATTTGCAGGGGAAGGCCTGGGCGGCATGGAGCACGCGCAGGTGACGCTCCTGACCGCTCTTACTGGGGAAGGTCTCCCCGCACACTGGGCAGAGGTGGCACTCCCCGGACAAGCTCAGCGGGCTGTGGCCGGCCGCCGCCGCCTCTTCCAGACAGGCCTCCGGAAGCGGGCGAGCCTGGGACAAGCCGTCAAGGGGCTCGTGGTGGAGCGGCAGGTGCTTACGCAGGGCGCTCTGGCGTCGGAAGCGCTTGGCGCAACGCGGGCAGGTGAATTCTTCGGCTCCGGCGGCCTCCGGTTCTCCGCTGCTGCCGCCCCCACCGCTCCCGGGACTCGGCGTATCCCGCTCGCTGCTGCTACTACTGTTGCCGCCGCCGCCGCCGCCGCCTCCACCCCCTCCCTTGGCAGTCTCCTCCGGAACAGGCTTGGCCTTGGTCGGCGGGCCGTTGACTGGCCGGGGCTTGTGCCATCGGCGATGCGAGGCCAGGTTGGCCGGACAGCTGAAGAGCTTGTCGCACTCGGGACAGCGGTACTCGACGCGCACGATACGCGAGCACTTGTGCTGAGCCAGAGCCAGCGGGTCCGGGTAGCGTTCCTTGCACAGTTGGCAGATGAATTCGCCCAGCGGCTGCACGCTCCCCGTTCTCAGCCCCACGGCCGAGCCGATCGGCGGCTGCTGCTGCTGCTGCTGCGCTTGCTGCGTCGTTGGAGCAGGCTCCGGCGGCCCTTCTTTGATCCGCAGCCCCAGCACAGGCGACGTAGTCACCTCGTCCTCGAAGTGCAACTTGCGGGCTGCCTTGGCCTTTCTGCCCTGAGAACGCTTCGGTGGGCCTGGGCTCGGCCCATGGCTGCGCTGAGGGGCAGGCGGCGGGCCAGAAGCGATGGCGGCGGCGGCGGCCGCCGCGACTGCCCAAAGCTTGAGGTCTCCTCCAGGGCCCAAGAGTAACGGTTCCGGCGCCGGGAAGGACTCGGCGGAGACGGGCGAGGCCAGGTGGAGGCTACGTTCCTCGCTCACCGCTCGCGCTGGACTGTGCAGCGGCGCCGGCGAAGAGGGGCCCTCCGGCGTCCCAAACTGCGGCACAGCAGGCGCAGGCAGAAGCGCCGCTTCGGCGGATTCCGAGGCAGAAGCCGCGCTGGCGAAGTGAGGGGCGGGAAAAGGTGGAGGAACCAAGATCTGCACCGGATCGCCTCCTTCCAGCCCAGCGGCCGGGTAGCAGGAGCAACGCGTCCGGTAAGAGATGGGCGTAGGTCTGCGACTCCTCTTCACCAAAAAGCCCCGGGGCATCCTCGGGCAGCTCCGGAAGGCGTCTGCGGCTGGTGATGCTGCTGCCCCAGTCTCTGAGCGGCAAGCGCGGTTCTAGCATCCAGCTGGTCCTTGTTCGATCACCCCGCCTTCCCTCCGTCAGCCGAGCCAAACGGGAGAGAGAAACAGAAGTGGTGGTGGAGGAGGAGGAGGCCTCGCCTCGCCTCCTCACTTCGCGCGCTCGCAGTCTGTGCTGCGGCGGACTCCCCGGGCGTCCCCGCCAGAGCGCCACACAGCCGCCGCCTCTCGGTGATGTCGCCCCCCCAGTCGCCCAGCCTCACCGCCCGCTTTTTAAGGGGGGAGGACAGCATTGTTCTGTCCTCCTGCTCCTCCCCGGAGCCAATCAGCGCTTCCCGCGGCTGCTCCATTGGCTTTGAGGCAGAAAGGGGGCAGGCGCCCGCCGAGCTAGTGGCTGAGCTAGGTAGGGCGCAGCAGATGTACCTGAGGGGTTCGGCGCTTCTCTTTTCTTTTCGTTTTCCCTCCCCCTCCTTTTCTTTTCTTAGGTCTTCCCTTCCCCCTGCCCTCCTTGTCCCCCAAAAGGCACACGCCCAGCTCCGCCTCCTTTCACGGTCTGCTGCTTTTCTATGGGAAGGCGCACGTGCCTCCCTTTTGTGTCTTTTCTCCAGGCGGGGCACAAGAGCTGCCAAATCGAAATATCCATCAACATGACAATAAGGGATGGGGAGGACGAGTGTGTTGGCAGTTGGGGGGGGGGGAGCCTGTCCACACCTCCGCGAGCAAAATAGCAACAAAAGAGAAGAATGAGTCGAAATATGTCGAGAAGAGGGCAAAATGCAGGCGGGAGCCGCGAACGGTGCGGAGCAAGAGAAGGGCGCCAATTGTTTAAAAGCCCTCTGGGGCCAGGAAAATCCTGAGGAAAGGAACGGCTATAGAAATCGCGGGGCGCGCGAGCTTCTAGTGGCGGAACAGAAGCAGCCCAGCGCCACACATGGGGGGCGGCGGAGGGGGGAGAGGGAGGGAGGGAGGAAAGTGGGACAAGGCAACGCGCGCGAGCCCGGCCGCGCCTCCAGCCGCTTGTTGTCTTCGCCGAGGCAAAAGCTTCTCGCGGCGAAGAGCTTTGTCCGCAGAAAGTACTGCGGCTGCGCTGGCGCTTTTGAGGAAAAAAAAGCTCTCTCGCCCCTCTTCCCTGCCGTCGGGCTTAATCCTGTACAAACCTACTCGAGAGTAAACCCATAAAGTTGAATGGGGTATTGCTATTTTTAATTTAGCTGGCAAACCGGGTGGGGTGGGGGGGTGGGAAGCGAAATCCCAGGCGCTCCTAGGCGATTTCCTTTGCCAGGTCTAGCCCGAGCGAAAAAAACGCAAGCAGAGGATTGCAACCACTTGCCGGGGAGACCTGTGGCTGTTTCAGACCGCAAAGCTGTGCGCTGTGGCGCAGACGCTCAGGAAGGAAGCGCCGCTGCCTTGGGGGTGCGCATGTCACTGTTGCTTCAACTGTTTACCCCGTTCAAGCGTTAATGTATTTATAAATGCGTGGACTGAGCATTTGTGCCTTGACGAGACATTTTGATATAGAATTGGACTGTAAATACAGGTAACATCTTGGGCCTAAGAGCACCCTGCACAATGAAGCTTTTGCTTGCTTTTCTAAGACCATCCGGGTGGGAGGAAGGGCTCCGTCTCTTCCAGCCGTCGTCAGATCCTAGTTAGGGAGAGGATCTGACTACTAGTCTTTGCAACAAGTCCGACTCAAAACCCCGCGGCTTTCTGGAACAACGGCGACTGTGCAGCTCCGCGGCTTAAATTCCCCTCCTGGCCAGCGTTCTACCCCGGGCTAGGGAAGCAGCGAAGCCGTGTCCCCTCCCCTTGCAATCAGAGGCTCTCGGGGCCCCTCAAGCAACACCCGAGGACCCCTCCCATCTGCCGCGTCTGGGCTCCTCTGCCTTCTGCCTGCCAGGTTCGAAATTCTATTTTCTGACCGCTTTGCCACCTTGCAACGTGTAATTACAGCGAGCAGAATTCTTTGGAAACCGAGTGCGTTTATCTCGGCTTCCTGTCGGTTGATAGGATTGTTTCTTTCCGCCTTCTGGCCATGATCCGATATTCTCCTGAGCAATCTTCGAGGAGGAGCTGAGCTGCATTTCAAAAGGGGCAGAGAATCGCCCCCTCCTTCTCAAAGCACCAGATGGTTCAAAACCGAATTCATTCGGTTTAAGTGGGCTGATGGTGGGTCGCCATTCTGATACAGGCTCTTTAAAGTTGATGAAGGCGCCCTTGGCGGCTCAGGGAGGGAGGGAGGGAGCGAGAGAAAGGATGGAGCCGGCGGGGGCTCATGCATTTTAATCCAGTGAGGGCATTTTGCTGTTTGACATCTGATGCTAAATCAAGGGGTCTAATCAAGTAGCCAAAGCGGGAGAGAGAGAGAAAGGGCCTGTCTGCCCAAGGAGGTCTTCCTCTGTCTCCCCCGCCACCTTTGTCAAGGAAATTAACCTCTGGGTATTGAAAGGGAACCGCGGCCAATCTGGAGCAGTAAGAGGCGCGTGCTGCTGGGGGCCCGCCGCGGGGGTGGGGAGGGAGCGGGGGGGGTGCAGCGACTGGAGAGACTCCGCGCTTAGCCTTCCGCGCAAACTCCTAAGCGCTAGTAGCCAGTCCGGACCTTCGGGCGCTGGGAGGCCTTAAAAACAAGAAGTTCCTCCCGCCTGATTTTGCGCTTGGCCCGTAAAAAAACGCAAACTGGACGGCGTAATCGGGGAAAGAAGAGCGGGAGAGGGAGGAGAAGCACCGCGCGGTTTCCCACCCGCTTTACCGGCGCTGGCTCTCCGCTACAAGTCGCCCTTCATTGGAAGCATTCGAGGCCCGGCGCGTTTCGTTTTGCTGACTGCTATGAAGTTAACCAGAACGTGGATTTGTTCAGGGCCGGCTACGGCACTAGGCCGAAGAGAAAGGGACAAGAGTCACCTAACCCGGCACTTCCCGCTTTAGGTGATTTCTCTCTCTCTCTCTCTCTCTCTCTCTTATAGCAGGGGAAAGTATTGAATTCACTAGCTTTATCAACATTATTGTAATCTGTAGTTTGGGTATCTACTCCATGTATTTTCTCAACTACTCTCTGTAGTGACTCAGACATCTTCTCCCCCTCCCCCTCAACAACACACACCACTAATATAATTGTAATTAGTCTCTTCATTCAGATTTCAATTGCCAGGGCTAAATGCATTGGTAATTTGTCCCAATTAAATTTGATCCCTGTACTGTACTGTACAGTTGTCACTAAATTTTAGGTGGATTTAAAATACAAAGCAGGTTATTTTAATTTTTAAGCAAATTGCTGGGGACACAAAAGATGTAAGAGGTTTTAAACACACACACAATACAAAGTAAACTCTTGATTATGCTTGGGATTTTTTTTTGCCTTTTATCCAATGCCACATCAAACCCTCTTGGTTTAAGATCTTGTCCTTTCAAAGGTATTTGGAAAGAACAGTCTAAATTTTGCAGTGAAAGGGGAGAAAAAGGAGAAACATGGCAAGCACCATCTTTCAAAGCAAGTGCAAACAGCTCTTGCAGAAGTGTGTGCAACTAGTCAGGGAGAAGAACCCAGTTTCTCTCGTTTTTGCAAGCAACCATCTTAGGATGCCTGGCAGCCCAAGGCCTTCCTCCACCTGCATCTAACCATTTTGCAAGCATCCTCTGAATGCTCCTCTGAAACAAGGTGAACTCAGCTGGACTGTTGTTAAAAATTGTCTTTCCCCCCTTACCACCAGTGTGCCTCAAAGCTCCACCCATTACATCAGAGACAGAGTCAGGTGACCAACAACCAATGGGGTCAGAGAGATGCTTATTGGCCATTTCAGACTAATAGGGCACGCCCTCTTCCCTGGTCCCTACTTGACCTTGCTAGCCACCATTCTTCTGATGTCTCCCTAGGGAATTGGATGCTGCAGCACATGAAACACAGCTACCTGTCTGGGCTTGAAGTAGAATAACAGTGAAATGGTATAATAGAATATTGTAACAGATTGAAATAGCATTAAACTGATGTGGTAGTACCGTACCTCCCCCCCCCTTTCCTTGCCTCCCAAACAGCATAGAGGAATCCACTGGTAGACATCTGTGCTGGTGACTGTTTTTCTTGCTGGATGGTGTTATATTGAAAGAGAGGGGCAGTAGATTCAGAGGTCTTAACCATCTCTCCTATGCTGCCCAGGTAGAATAACCCTACCTAGCCACTAGTCAGAAGACTGGTAGTAGGAGCAGCAGTGGGGATAACATTTTTTTTCCTGCAGATTATAAAATAGGTGGAACAGCAACAACAGTGAAGAATGCCTCTAATGCAAGAAGCAGAGATTAGGGCTAGAGATGTTGGACTTCACAAATTATTTATTTATGGAGTGAAATTCTGTTGGTTGGATTTTAAGGTACTAGAATCTTAAGAGGATGAAAAATGGAGTTTCCTGTGACATTCCAGTCAAGCACAAAGCCCCCCAAAATATCTAAACAAAAGTGATTCCTACTAGTGATTTATAACAGGGATCCCCAATCTCCAGTCCATGGACCGGCACTGGTCCACGGCATGTCAGAAACTGGTCCACGCAAACAAGCAAAGCCCCATCTGCAGGATGTAGCCAGCATATGAAACCACACACTCTCCAGTCCATGAAAAAACCTCTCTCTCCAAGGAACCGGTCCCTGATGCCCAAAAGGTTTGGGCGCCACTGATTTATGACATTTTCTAGCTCATCCAACCATGCAATAATCCTGAGAATGGGCTTCAGAGTGCTACAGTGATGGAAAAATAATGCTAAATATGTTATTAGTCACTAAAGGGAAAAAGCGTGGTGGAGGATTTTCAGTGTAGTGTATTGGAATGTAGATCCCATCAATTTAGGCTAAAGTATGAGAAGCACCAGGTTGAGCATATAGAATCCACCATAAATATACTGCTCAAAAAAATAAAGGGAACATTTTACTATGGAACTGAAGGGATTTGCGTTCCCTTTATTTTTGTGAGCAGTATATAT